AGCCATGTAGAGACCCCTGCCAGCGCTGAGATACTTACAATGCAACCTGGATCCAAAGACTTTCTACCCACTAGCCTGTAATTGTCCTGCATTTAGCGTCAATGCATGTGTTTTGTGAATCTGAAGAGGACTTTATAGATTGGTATCAGACATATGGGCTAATATCAGATTTATGGGCTTGGACTGGACTGGGCTGTTTCTTCAATATTCAACTGCTCTTATATATAAACCTCTTTTTATACACATATGAGTCTCCCTAGAGTTGTTTCTCTAAACTACCCAGACTAACACAATTAGCTTTAGTGGTTGGTACATATATTTGAATAATAGTAGTATTAACTGATCTTCCTTGTAGGTGTGTAGATATTATCCTATCACTGGCAACATTGTATGTCAAGAGAGATCTTGGAAAAAATTTTTTGGTAAGTGTGATGCCATTTCTCTGGAATTTCTTATTCCCAGCATAGTAAGCCATGAGTTTATCTGACTCAAAATGGCCAATACCTGTTCGTTTCAGCTCACTAATGCCTAGAATATTTATCTATGTGCATTCCATCACAATTTTCCCAGATTCATGCTTTGTACGTCCCATGTCATGGCTATTAATGGACATTTGCTGCTGTTCTAATTTTCACTTGTGCCTCATCAACAGATGAAGTTCCCCAAAGCTTTACTCCATTTAAGTCATTATAGTTGACTCTACTTTGAGAAGTCCTACTTTTGAGTGCTTTCCTATGTGAGGAGCTCATCTTCGGGTACTCTATCAGACATTCTTTTTTTTTTTACTTTAAAAAATATATTACTTTTACTATTTTTTTAATAAATCGTTTTATTGAGGGCTCTTACAGCTCTTATCACAATCCATACATCAAACATATTTATACATTCTATCAGACAAAATTCTGCCACTATTCATTTTCAGTGGCTTATCTCTCAGAAGTGAATTCCTATTCTTTCTTCCTAGTTTGTTCTTAGTCTGGACACTCTGCTGAAACCAACTCACATGGGATGATCCTGACAATATTTAAAATACTGGGGATATCGCTTCCAGCATCACAGCAACAAAGAAATCTTCACAGTAAGACACACTGACAGATGAATGATGGATGACTGTTTGAGATAAAATTTATATAAAAGTCATGCATTTATAGTGTACAATTCAATTAGTTTTAATGCTGACACAGGGTTTTGCAACTATGTAATTAATTCTAGAACATTTTCCTCACCCCCACCCCTAGTAAACTCTGTGCCTATTAGCAGTCATCTTCCCATTTCTTCTCATTCTCCCAGCTCTAGGCAACCACAACTTTTTAAAAATGTTATTGTTTTAGATGAAAGTATACACCACAAATTAGACTCCCTTCTATACAAATTGTTCTGTGCCATTGGTTACAATTTTTACAATGTGTTGGAGTTCTCATTATTTCCATTCTGTTCTTATTGTTCTACCTTCCCTTTGTCTCCTTGCCTTCTCATCTGTGCTTTTGGGAAAATGTTGACAAATTTATTTCATGTAGTTAGTTAAGGGAGCATATTAGTCCATCAATTAATTAAGGGTGATATTGTTTATTTTATAAGGCAGTTAACGTGGTTGCAAGGTGACCTACAGAAGTAGCTTCACATCCAAGTTCAAAGTCAGCGGTTCCCCTAGCCTCTGTAGGTCCGATAATTCTGGTCATTTAAATGAATTTTTGTTTTGTTCTGCATTTTCCTCTCACACTATCCAGGACTTTCTATTGTGTCCCTAGTCAGAATAGTGGGTAGAAGCAGCTGGGCACCATCTAGTTCTTCTGTTTTCAGGTTAAGAGAAGGCTGTGGTTTGCATGGCTGTTCGCTCCTTTTTGCTTTTGTAGGCAAATTTATTAACAAGGTAGATAACGTATGCTTATCTAATATGCACTGTAGGCCACTGCCAGATAAAGGAAAACCACTCTTTCAGTGTATGGAAAGGACCTGCTCTGTGCACACTTCAGTGCAACTTTAAAAATACTGTAGTTATAATTTAAGAACATCCAGAATTTAAGTGACCGTGATCTCCTGTTTCAGTACAGTAACAGAAAATTCCTTTTGGAATCATTTTTAGCCTGGACAAAATTCCATTGCTATGTTCTTAGGATCATTCTGTAGAACCTTCCATGATTCAGACAATATGAAGCACACTTCAACTGCGCCTTTCAGAGAAGACACCCAGCTTCTATGATCTCGTCCACCAGGAGAATGCTGGTCACAATCACAGTGCAGGAGTGTAGGAATTGTTTCTTTACACAATACTTGTCCCATACACCCACTCAGCTGCCGCCATTGGCTCATCCAAATTCAAGTCCATTACTCACACGGTGACCAGATTTTGAATACTCAGCTGAACTTTCACTAGTGTTTCTTAAATGAAAGTCAAAACTGGAGTTCTGAGCAAGAACTGTGGTTTAACGGAGTAGCACATTGGCAAATGTTTGGACTCCAGGCTGGGGCCCTGCCCTTGATGCTGGGCTTATGCTTCATCAAATTTCTGTCATGGCTACTTCCACTGCCATAATCCCTAGGACCACAGAACCACCATCAATGGCATTTTTGATGGCCTTCAAGCCATCTCAGACAGCATCTTTGATCTGAGTAAGTGTGCTTATTCGGTCCTTTGATCAGAATGGGTTATTACATTTGTTCATGAAGGTGCACTTCTCTTCTTCCAGCAAGTACCTACTCTAGATTAGGCCTGCCTGTCCCAGACGGTCAGAATTCAGGTCTTCTCAAGAATGTTAAGCCACTTGCCATAGGTGAGTGTCAGCCTCTCCAAAGTGTTTTCTACTTTTGCCAGGGCAGCCAGGGGCAAGAGGTCAATTCCCTTTTGGTTAATGATGACAAAGCTTATTGGAATCACCACAGATTTTCTTCTTCAGCTCTATCTTCAATGAATTCTTCCCTGGATTGTCAGTGAATTTTCTTTCAGCTTTAATGAGTCTCTCCCTTCCTTCTGCACTCTTGTAAAAGAAGCCAGAGCTCACTTTTTTCTCTTCATATTTTAAGGATACATTACAGGTGCTGATGTACATATCTTCTCTTCTTTCCTTTATATCAGGATGCTGGGCTCTGTGATCGAAAACAAGCCCTCTAATTAAGCTTGTAACCGTTTCTGATTTATGTCTCATCTCAATGATTGCAACCATGAAAAGGTCAATGGGCTCCTCTTTTTAAATGGCCCACTAGCCACTGTTAGGGCATCAGCAAGCTCTGTGTGGACTTTGGTGTGTAGTGATGGCCTGGCCACATCTCTGTTTCTCTGCCCATCTCTTGCTGACTCTGATTTGTTAAAAAAATTGGAGGGTCTTTTCCTTTGCCACTTCAAAACCTTCAGTTATCATTTGAGATGCAGTCCTCCAGAAATGTAGAGGTCAGCCTGCTTCAGCAGGTCCCTAATGAAAAGAATGCTGGAAGTAGTGCCATCATCATGAGTTGTGCTATTAAGGGGTCTTGTTGGGTGTTGATTTTGCATTTCATAAAGCAGCATATTACCGTCTTTGGTAAGCTTAATGTCTGCAGCACCAAAAACAAGCATCTTCATGGTGCCCTTGGGTCCCAGATTGGTCCTCAGCATGTCCTGCAGATCCCACACCTCACTCATGGTGACCACCAGGGTCACCTGGGCTCAAGCTAACTTGGCCATGAGGTTCAAGGTCTTCACAGTTGACATATGGTGCCAGCAAAAGAGAAGGATCACATTCATTTTCTTTTGATATGAGACCAGTAGTTGTTTTGTACCATTCATCGCTTTGTTTTCTTCATAGATTTACCTGTTTGGGGCATTTTGCCTAAATATAATCATACAATAAATGATCTTTTGTGACTGGCTTCTTTCACAAGGACTATCCATGTTGTACAATGTACTAGTACTTTATTCTTTCTTATTGTTAAACAGTACCCCGGATATGGATATAGCACTTTTTCAGTTATCTAGTCCTCAATGGATGGACATTTTAGGTGGTTTGTACTTGGCAATTACAAATGTATGGACATGTTTTCATTTCTCCTGGGGATATTTTCTCCACATCCTCATTAAAACTTGTATTGTGTGTTGTTGTTGCTTTTCATTATACCCATCCTCCAATATATATTTTAATTTAAAAAATTTGAAATCATTTTAGATTTACTTAAGAATTCCAATGATAAAACAGGGAGTTTCAGTATGCCCTTCACTCAGCTTCCCCTAAAGTGCGATTAAACAAGTTTCAAAAAGAAATCACAGCAAGCTTTGGCCCGTTTGCAAAAGTGGACAGAAGGAGTTTCGAACAGTCATGTCAAACGCTGCTGAAGTAGAGACAGAGCCAACAGAAGAGGGGGTACTCCAGGGGGCCGCAGGTAAGAAAACTAGCAGAGATGAGTTGGAGAAGCAGTCAAATCATGTTAGTGGAGTCGACATCCGGACGACCCCCACCACGGGTGGTCTCATCACACTGTTGCTTTGTTCCGTGGTTTTTCTGACGGTAACTAATTGTCTCTCCCAGGGACTGTAACCTGTTGGAAGACTCAGAGTTTGGGATATCTCACCTAGCCTTCACCCTTACCCGAAAAGCTCGGAAGGGCGCGCGGAAGACGTGCCCGGGACCTGAGAGGGGACACGTCCAGCGCCACACCCGAGCCCACGGTGCGGACGCAGGACGCGCGCCTCCCTCTGAGGCCGCTCACGATTGGCTAGGCGTCCATGAGGGCCCGCCCTAAGGAGGTTAAAGGGCAGCCACCCCATCTAACCCTGGGTCACCGCTTCCGGGGAGGGTCGTCCGACCGAGCTCGGGGGTGGGGTGAGGGGTGGGCTCAGCGGGTCCTCAGAGGGCTGAGCCAGAGCAAGCGTGCGCCTCTACCGCGAGGCCACGTCCGGAGGCTGAGCCGGGAGCGAGGCGAACCCCTTTGTCTGCGCTCCGCGGCAGAAGGGGCGTGGCCGCGCCGGTTCGAGCCCCGGAAGCGGAAGCGCGGGCGCCGTGGGGGCCCTGTCTAGTGAGGGCTCGTCCCGTGCACCCGCTGGTCCTCTTGCTGGTCACGTCGCGCCCGGCTCCGGCCCGCGTCCCACTCTCCGGCCCCATCATGCTGTCTCTAGACTTTTTGGACGACGTGCGGCGGATGAACAAGCGGCAGGTGATGTTGGCCACCTCTGTTTCCCCGGGTTCTCCGGGTCCCTTCCACGCGTCCACTGCGGTGCCCGCCCAATCTCCCGTCCTTGGTGTGAGGGCCTGAGCGAGGCAGACTGTCGGATCACTCCCTCTCTTTGGACTTCGTTTGCTCCCTATTATTAGCCCCCATCTGATGCCAGGCCTGCTAGGGGTGAAGCAACGGCATCCTCATGTTCCCTTCTTCCCAAAGAGGAAGGGGAGCAACTGGAGAACGTGAGGCGCTTTATAAATGAGGGACAGGATTGCATATTTTAGGCATTGTAAAGTGGGCAAACTCATGGATCCTTTAATCCAAACGAGCACGGATTCCAGAGAGACTAGGTTTAGTACTTCACTGTTACTTCAACTTCTGGGGGTGTTTGGGGTCCCCACAAAGGTAGGTTCGCTGCGTCCAGCACATCTCAGTCCTCTTAGTTCAGCCGGACCCCAGCAGACGGCACCGACTTCTCCCAGCACCACCTTTGAATTCTGAGTTAGAACACTTATTGTAGTTGCCCTTGAGACCCATTAGTCTCCTGCATATTTGGCTAGAAAACCCAATTAGTGGCATACCCCAAACCAAACTCACTGGCATCAAGTCGATGCTGACTAAAAGTGACCCTGTAGGACAGGGTAGAACCGCTCCTCTGAGTTTCTGAGACTGTTTACGGGAATAGAAAGTTGCGTCTTTCTCCCGAGGAGCGGCTGGTGGCTTCGAACTGTTGACCTGTGGATTGCCGCTCAACACTGACTACTACACCACCAGGTCTTTCGTCGTGGTTGTGCGTTGGGCTGCTAACCACAAGGTCGGCAGTGCAAAACGACCAGCCAGCTCCTCAGGGGAAAGACAAGGTTTGCTACTTTCTGTTCTCATAGAGTTACAGTATTAGGGGCATAGAGATCTTGAAATTTAGGTGTCCTAATTTTGTTCTTCCGTTTTATATCTTGGTCTTTGTCAGATGGTATTGGGAATACTGCTGTAATTATGTAGTCCTTAGAGAAGGTTACTCTTTTCTGCCTTCACCTAAATGTCAGTACAGCCCAATTTTGCTGGTTTCTGATCTTTTTATAGTACTTTTAAGGATGATCATAATTTACCCCAAAGTTTGGGTTGATATCTTGCACTATAATAGTTGTTTAGGAAACAGGTGTCCAATTTTCCTTTATTCCTTACAGGCCCAAACTAACGCAGTGTCACCTCTTAGACATAATTTCCAATTCTTTCTGTCAGAATTGATTTTCCCCCCAAATGGCACAGAATATTTGTTTATGCATATGATAGTACTGATAAAATGACCAGTGTTGTCATTTTTAACTGTATTGGGATTTTTAGGAGGCACAGGTGTTTCTCTGAAGAAGTACTTATTTGGGGCCTACTGTGGAACCCTGCTGGCATAGTGGTTATTCGTTGAGCTGCTATCTGCTAGCTCAGCAATTCCAAACTACCAGCTACTCCTCGGAAGAGAGATAGGGTTTTTTACTCCCATAAAGAGTAAATCTTTATGGAAATCTACAGGGATAGCTCTACCTTACCCTATAGCGTCTCTAGGAGCCAGAATCAACTCAATGGCAGGAAAGTGGGTTTTTTTGTTTTTTGTTTTGAGTGGAGCCCTTAGGAGCCCTGGTAGCATAGTAGGTTACTTGTTGCGCTGCTAACTGCAGGGTTAGCTGTTCGAACTCACCAGGCTATCCAAGGGAGAAGGGTAAGACTTTCTGCTTCCATAAAGATGTACCATCTCAGAAACCAAAAGGGGCAGTTCTACTCTGTTCTCTGGGGTCACTATGAGTCAGAATCTACATGGGGGCTGTGGGTTACAGAGCCCGGGGAGCCATGGTGGCGTAGTAGGTTATGCATTGGGCTGCTAAATGAAGCGTCAACAGTTCAAACATACTAGGTGCGCTGCATGATAACAACGAGCCTTTCTGTTCCCATAAAGAGTTACAGCCTCAGAAACCCAAAGGGGCAGTTATTTGTCCTATAGGGATCACTATGACTTGGAATTGACTCGATGCACCTAACAACACATCTGTTTACTTCAAGCCCACCAGCTGCTCGAGAAGATGAGGCTGCGCTCCCACAACGATTTACTGTCTAATTTACTAGGTGGTTCTGAGTTGGAATCTACTCAGTGGCAGTGGGTTGGTTTTTTAAATTTATTATTATACTAAAGAGCACTGATGGGATGGCATAGTTATTAAACAAATGCTTTCTTCTAACCGAAAGGTTGGCGATTTCACCCCAGCAGCTGTGCTGGGGTAGCTGTTCTCTGGCAGTCAGCGCCTGTAAACATGACAGCCTTGGAAACCCTGTGGACAGATCTGTTTTGCTCTGTGGGGATTAACTCAGTGGCAACAGGCAGTTAATTATTATACCTAGTAGTGCAGGGGTTAGAGCACCTGGCTGCTAACAAGATGGTTATGGTTGGAATTCACTCACCTGTGGCTCTGTGGGAGAAAAAAAACGTAGTGATCTGCTCCCTTAAAGATTATAGCTGAGGATATGTGACCTCCCTGGGGGACAGACAACCGAAAAGTGAGTGAAGGGCGACATCGGACAGGACAAGATATGACAAAATACCAATTTATAAACTATCAAGGGCTCATGAGGGAAGGGGGAGTGGGGAGGGAGGGGAAAAATGAGGACCTAATGTCGGGGGTTTAAGTGGAGAGAAAATGTTTTGAGAATGAAGTACAAATGCGCTTTACACAATTGATGTGTGTATGGATTGGGATAACAGTTGTATGAGCCCCTAATAAAATGTTTAATAAAAAAAAAAGATTATAGCCAAGGAAACTCTCAGTACAGTTCTTCTCTGTCATAGACGGTCACGAAGAGTCGGATTGACGTGACAGCAGGCAAGAGCAACAAGAAGCTTTATTATACTGGCGTTCCCCGGGAGCACAGTTAGTTAAGTGCGTGACTGCTAACTGATGGTTCCAGTACCTATATCCAGAGAAGCCTCCAAAAAAAGGCTGGTGATAAACTTGAACAGCCGTTCTCAACCTGTGGGTCACAACCCCTTTGGAGGGGTCAAACGACCCATTCACAGGGGTCCCCTAAGACTATCGGAAAAGACATATTTCCGATGGTCTTAGGAACCGAGACACTGCGCTGTCTCCAGGCAGGTCTGCCCACATGCAGATACGCCCCCATACGAGTACCCGGTGTGAAGACTGTTACCCCAAGCTTCAAGACAATATGTCATTGATTTATAATTAGAAATAAATTTCACAATATATAATTGCATATTTTTGTGATGAATCTCTAGAAATAAATTTCACAATATATAATTGCATATTTTTGTGATGAATCTCTATGCTTTAATTATGTTCAATTTAAGCAATAAAAATCCTGCATATCAGATATTTGCATTATGATTCATAACAGTAACAAAATTACAGTTAAGAAGTAGCAACGAAAGTAATTCTATGGCTGGGGGTCACCACAACACGAGGAACTGTATTAAAGGGTCGCAACATTAGGAAGGTTGAGAACCACTGCTTTAGAACAATCAGCTTTTGAAAATTCTGTGGAGCACAATTCTACTTTGACACACAGAGGAGAATCATGAGTTGGCTTTTTTGTTGTTTTCATTTGTGATTCTAAGTACAATGTGAAGACTACAAAGAAAGATAATATAGACCTTGTGCTTTTAAGGAATGTATGTAGAAAATGACCAAGGCAAAGCCTCACTATGTGTGAAGTACTTTATTTATTGGGTAAAGGAAATGTTATATGCAGATGGAGAAAATGAGGCTTAGTGAGAAGCAGTACATGGAGCCCTGGCGGTGTAGTGGTTATGCATTGGGCTGTGATCTTCATGGTCGGCAGTTCAATATCACAAGCATATCCAAAGGAGAAAAATACTGGGCTTTCTACTCCTATAAACAGTTATAGTCTGGGAAGCCCACAGAAGGTTACTATGAATCAGCCTTGACTCAATGGCAGTTTTTTGTTTGTTTGTTTTTTTCAGAGAAGCAATATAGTATGGAGGGTAAGAGTGTGGGTGCTGAAGCTAGACTTCTTAGTAGCAGAGCTACTTTTGGTCCATTATTTTACCTCTCTGGACCCACAGATGGGGTTTTCTACTCCTGTTAAGAATTACAGTCTCGGAAACTCACAGAGGCAGTTCTACCCTGTCCAATAAGGTCACTATGAGTTAGCATCAACTCGATGGCAGTAAGTTTGGCTTTGGTGCCTACATCAGAGGGTTTCTCTGAAGATGAAATGAGTTAATTTATTCAAAGCTTGTAGAACAGTGCCTGGCACATGGTAAGTATAAGTTGTATCATTGCTGGAGAGGTTTAGTAATTTGCCCAAGATCAGAAGTGAATGGCAGAACCTGGATTTGATATCAGGTCTGACTCCAAAATCTGAACACTAAACTTGTATGGCCTACCACCTCACTAAGGGGATTCCTGTTGGGTAAGCATTGGACTACTAAGCTCAAGGTTGGCAGTTCAAACCCACCCACCACTCCGAGGTAGAAAGATCAGACTATCTGCTTCCATAAAGCCTCAGAAACCCTGGGTAGTGTTGGAATGAGTCAGAATCGGTTAGAGGGGAGTGGCCTCACTAAGACGAGAAAGGATATGTCAGGTTCTAACAGTGGTAGGAACAGACGAAGGATTCTGGCCAGGGAATGATCAGCATAGCATCTTCAAGAAGGACTTGATGTTTCAGCTAAATCTTAAAGGACTGTAGTTTATCTTTGTGGGTAGTTAAGATGTTTGGTAATGCTAGATAGAGGGTAACAACCTATATGGTAGGCTCTGGGGCCACAGAAAGTACAACTCTGCCCACAAAGAGTTGGTCGGTCTCGAAGAAAAACCGAAAAATGTCAATTCTTGTAAAACAGTGCAGTTACAATAATGTAACAGTTACTATAGGGAACAGAACTTTGAAGAGGCTACTTTACCCTTTATCTCCTTAATATAGAATGAATGGGGCTGGGGGGGGGTGTCCGAGCAGTTGTTGAGGTGTGT